TTGATACTTCTCTCTCACAATCCAAATGAGGATATTAATTAAGGTAGTTATAATAGTAATAGCAATAGCTATAACAACAGCAGTAGTAGTAGTAGTAATAGTAGAAGTAGTAGTGGTAGTAGTACTTGTAGTAGTATTACTAGTAGTAGTAGTAGCAGTAGTCGTAGTAGTAGTAGCAGTAGTAGCAGTAGTTGTAGTAGTAGTAGTAGTAGTAGTAGCAGCAGCAGTAGTAGTAGTAGTAGTAGCAGCAGCAGTAGTAGTAGTAGTAGTAGTAGTAGCAGTAGTAACACTTTCCACCTAGCATCACTCCATTAATATCTTAAAAAACTTAAATTGTTAATTTAACGCTGGAAGGCGTTTGAATGATTCGTAAAAAAAAGGCGCTATATCAATTTGACAATTATCATCATTATCATCATCACTATCATCATCACTATCATCATCGTCACGACAATCAACGTATTAATCATCATCATCATCATCATCATTGTCGTCGTCATCATCATCACGACAGTAGCATCATCATCAACACCATCGTAACTAACTTCCGGTCATCTATATTAAATCAGCTCTCTGGCTATCTATATGGAACATACGTCATACCCACCACGCGCTAATATAACTACAATAATAACAACAACAACAATAATAACAATAACAACAACAATAATAACAAAAATAATAATAATAATGATAATAATAACAGTAACAATAATAATTATTATTATTATTATTATCATCATCATCAACATTATCTTATTGAACGAAACATAAACAAAGTCATCAGCATCATCATCATCGTCGTCGTCGTCATCATCTTTATTATCGTCATCGTCGGCCTTTTAAAAACACGGACGATCACGTCATCAATAACAATCTGCATATTTAATTACTACACCAAAAACATCATCATCATCATCAACAACAACAAAAAAACCATCATCATCAACAACAAAACCATCGTCATCATCATCATTGTCGTCGTCATCATCATCGTTGTTGTGACTGGAGTCGTCATCATCACAAGAGCCTACGTTATTGTCATCATCATTATCATCATCATCCGAAAGATCACCATCATCATCGTCACCACCATCATCATCATCACTAACATTAATACTCTGTAACCACATGCTAAAAAATTATTTGTACATACTTATGCCTTGCTTTCAAAGAAAAAACTTACAGTACACACAAACACACACACACACACACATACACACACACACATACACATACATACATACGTACACACCTGTATAGATAATCACCACCATCATCATCATCTTATTCATCATCATGATGTTGTAAGCAGCCACATTAACAATTAACCATACAAATATTTACACAGTTGAGTTGATCCTTTTTTTCTTTCATTCTTTTATTATTTTCTTATTTTTTATCTTTTTTTTATTTTTATTTTTTTTTTTTTTGATGAGGCCAGTCTCGTTCTCGATTCATCAAAGAGGAAGTAGAATGGAGATGAGAAAAATAATTATTTGTTTACAATTTTCGAGAGAGAGAGAGAGAGAGAGAGAGAGAGAGAAAGAGAGAGTGAAAAATAAAATGGAAGGTTAACTACAAAAGAGGGAAAATATTAATTGAGAAAGCTAGAGAAAGCCAGAGAGAGAGAAAGAGAAAGAGAGAAAAATGGGAAGAAGAGAGAAAAAAAAGTGTGATAGTGAGAAAAAATGAGAGTATGACAAATCGAAATTGTAATTCCCGACACGAGCAAGCCCTCCTACCCCAATGGGGACTTAATTGAGTGACGTCACGAACAAAGCTGACATGAGAATCAGCCCGGAGCTGCTGGCTAGCATTACAAATCACTTTCCTGTAATGTCTTGTATGGTACGTCCGGTTTTTAATATTTGTGTGTGTGCGCGCGTTTAGATTTGTATGTCCCTGATTGTATGTGTGTATGCGTGTGTCCATTATATATTTTGGATGTTTTGCACTTGTATGAATTAAAGAGAGAGATAGGAAAATAGAGAAAAAGAGAGAGAAAAAGAGAGAGTGAAAACGAGTGAGAATTTACGTGAATATATTTGTGCCCTTTTAGTACCTAAATATATACATACATCCCACCTAAAAAATGTTTTCACCGCACTACCGCTGCTAGATGTCACCATTTGATTTGATCAGCGACGAACGTGTGCTAGGGTGATGGTGTTAATGGCAGGGAATGGATTATTTGATACATTTAATGCGTCCAGTGCATTGGTATTTGTAACTGTGTTTTTTTGTGTGCGTGCGTGAGCTTGTTCGTGTGTATCGGTATGTGTGGCTACAGCAGAAAATTACTTGCAGATAATTTTTCAAGTCCGGAAAAATAAGAGATTGAGACGTGTTTTGTTTCTTGTTAACTCAAATATGACCAAGCAAGACTTATATACTTTTCATCATGTTTTGTGTGTTTTTATTTGTTTTTATGAGTGTATGAATGTAGTTATGAGTGTGTGTTGCTGTCCGTGTACAAACGAGAACATGAAGCAAGTTATAAACCAACCACTAACACTTTATTTCATCAAAATAGTAAATTAATTCTTTTTGAAATAAGTTAAAATAAAAAATTTCAAATATTAACAGAATAGACAAAACTTTAATCAATATTTGCAACGTTTGATCAAATCATTCCTCATCATCCTGTTCATCATCAATCATCTTCATCATCATCATCATCGTCCTCATCATCTTCATCATCATCTTTTTCGAGCCATTCGATGAATTTACAGAGTTTATCATTCAACTCGTCACTCTTGTTTTCATTTCCATACCACCACTTTAAAATTCCTTCTTCCGTCAGAATATCCTCGTCAAAGAAGAATAATACGACTTTAGGCAGTGCGGTCATGATCAGAGGCACGGACTCGGCCATCTCTTGCATGCCAATCAGCATGTCGCCTTGTGACGACTCGGTTTTAACGTAATTTTTTAATATCGGTAAAAAGGTAGTCATGTGCGTTTTGAAGAGCGCGTAAAAGGATGGGAAATTATTTGGCGGTGGTTCGGATCTTAGGGACATATCTAGAAAGGCTTTGGTTAGGAGGATTGTAAGTTCTCTGATCTGAATGCCGTATGCGTGCTTCACTGAGTTTATTTCTAGAATGACGTTTTTGGAGGAGATATTTTCACTCAAAGTTCGTTCCAAGTTGCTGATAACCTCATCGTAGAAGATTTTCGACTCGTTGAATTCGATCGGGACATCATTCACGTCGTCGTCGTCGTCATCATCGGAGTTGTAGTCATCCTCTAGATTCTTCTCCTCATCATTTTTGGACAAGCTGCCATCAAGTAGGTCCAAACTTTCAGAGACGGTTCTCAGAGGGAGTATGAAACATTTTTTGTTTCCGGGCGAAACGTGCTGGAAGTTGTTTGTATTGTCTGACACTAACTTATAATCTTCTAGTAAATTGTCATTTTCGTAAACAGTAACGCCTCTACCTAGGATACAATTTTTAGGAATCTGGCAGTTTTTATGAATGATGCAGGTTTGATCGATGACAGACCCAGTGACAGTGCAGTTATCTTCAATGACGACATTATCAAAAATTATGGAGTCCTCAATTTTTACATTTCTGCCAATTATACAGTTCCTTCCGAGAACGCTGTTACTAATCGTCGAGCCATCTCCGACTTGGACCCCCCTACCTAACACGACATCGTGCATGCCCGTCAAATCATCCAGATCAAAATTAGTGCATTGGACGTGGCTATAAACATTTCGATCATTACAGCGATATTTATTGAATTTTCTCCCTGTGAAATTATTATCTATAACCAGAGGATATGAAAATCTCTTGACGACCTGGTTACTAACTTTCTTATAAGAACTCAAACAATCGACATGGACAGCATACTCAGTCCTAAGAAGCTCGTGGAAATGAATTGAAAATCCATAAATGTCCTCATTGGATAGCAGTCCACAAACCAGGGCATCTACTGTTTGAAAGTCAAAGTTATCAGTCATCTGAGTCAGTACGACAGGGGAACAGATGTTGATTTGACATGGAAGCAGATCAAATTGGATGTTGTTGATAGGTTTTTCCAGAACCTCTATGGGAAGGGAGAATTTCTTTGATTTTCCAGTTTTTTGGTAATTCAAAATTCTATTGTTGCATTTGTCGACAGTCAAGCAGACATCATTATCTGGATTTCTCAAAGGGTCATCTAGTGAGGGATAAATATTTTATATTACCATAGATTATATTATACGTAGAAAAATATCAAATAAATTTGCTTTAATGCTGTTTAAATTAAATAATATAATTAAAATTAATATTTACGATAATTATTCTTTAAGAAGTAAACAACCAACCAGGCGAATGATGCATCATCAACATCGTCATGATCGCCATTCGATCCTTAATTTCAATTTTCCTTCTCTTGTGCTCATTAATGGCTGCCTGCAGATTAACATTAGATACTACACTTCCTTGTATCAAGACAAAATCATCCCTAATTAGCGCTTTCTTGTCAATCTCTCTCAAAGCTTCCCCCAACGAATAGCAGTTATCCGAAACGACCACGCCTACTTTCATCCGGCAGCATTCGTTACCCCATTTTGAATTTTTCACATGCTCCTTGACGAGATTTACATGGTTGGAAGTGAAAATAAATGTTTCGTGGACCCCAGACGAATGCAAAGTCTCGAGTACGTAATCTAGGAAAGGTACGTTGGCAAGCGGCAGCAGACAATTTGGCCTTTTCATAGTCAGAGGGTTAAATTTGGAATCGAAGGAATCTGCAATTACGATCGCCTGGATCTTGTCTTCCTCTTTGAAATCCGATTTATTCAGCATTGTTAGATCCGGTTTCTATCTACTTTTTATATGGATTTTTTTCCACTTTATTTATTTTCCAAGAGATGATGAAATTGAGCGAAAATACGTGCAAAACGGAGTAAGGAATTTAGTACAAACATGTGTTTACTTTTGAAATTAGATCAATGTTGTTTCTATGCTGAAGGTAAATTAATTAAATGCATTTGTATATAGATTAATACTATTGAATCATATATATATATATATATATATATATATATATATATATATATATAATCAGTTTAATCAATTTAATCAGTTTGTTTAAAACCTATAAATACATCATAAATACAATTCAAGTTAAATTTTTTTCAATTATTTGTTAGCTAATTTCGTCACAAATAGGTCTTTCTTTAAAAAATACCTGTGAGAAAAAATTTGGTTTTCATTCTACAGTGTAATCACCTTACATTTACAAAGGTAGTTCGCTATAAAAGTTGCTAATGCTTCACAAGCCATCATCGTCACACATGGTCAATCAAACACAACCAACCAACCATGCATTCTGAATGAATGCATAAATGCATGAATGAATAGATGGTTGAATGAACGAAGGAACGAGATTGATTGAATGACCGGTGAGTATATTAATGAAAGAATGAACAACTGGATGAAGGATCGATGTAAGAACGAATGAATTAAATCAACCAATCGGTCAATTTATTTCAATCAACGATACGCATGGGACTCAATTTTTTATTAGTTTCAAAGTTTTTTAGTAATAAAAACCATTATCTCCAAGCTATTGCAACTGAGAAAAAGTAGTCATTTCACACACACACACACAAACACCCACACAGAGGACAATATATACAAAACATTGTTGACATGGTGTTTTCTTGGTGTAATGTCAATCGAAAACAGAAGAAAAAATTAAATAAGAATTATACGTTCACCAAATTCATTTATTATTGTCATCACATTAAAAACAAAAAATTACAGTTTTACAGAAGTGAATAAGAATGGTGACGAAAGTTAAAAATAAATTAAAAAGCAATCAGACGAACAAATGACTTGAGGTTTTTTTTTCTTTCTTTAAATAACAAAGTGTATTTCAATCGAAAAACAATGAAAAGATCTATATAGTATCATCCTACAATCAATCACCCAATCAATCACCCAATCGATCGATCAATCAGCAACCAACCAATGTACATGCATATATACATTCATATATTTGAATAAAAATCAATCTGTCAACCAACAAAACAATCAATCACACAGTTTTATCAAACAACCATATATAAATCAGTCATCCAACAATCAACCAGCCAATCAACCAGCCAATCAACCAGCCAATCAACCAGCCAATCAACCAGCCAATCAACCAGCCAATCAACCAGCCAATCAATCAATCAATCAATCAATCAATCAATCAATCATTCAATCAATCATTCAATCAATAAATCACAGCTCGAAAATCATCTTCAATGGCTTCCTCTTGTGCATGTGGCAGAGGCAGTAGATGATCTTATCGATCTCGAATGAAAAATCTGTGTTACTCCTGTCCAAATCACCATTGCTGTGAGTGGCATCTCGTGGGAAACTCATTGTCACCGCCTGTTTGTAATCAAGTTGGCAATGTTAGTTAAGTTAGGAAGTAATGCAGTATGAATTAAAGCTAGTTAAAAATGATATATAGAAAAACAACTCTTACCTCTAACTCAGGAATAACGAAGAAATAGACAAGAGACTCCATAATGTCCTTTCTTAGGCAGCTGTTTTGAGCCACATTAATGTAGTGCAGACTGGAACACAGAAGACATTTTTCGAAACATTGCAACAGCATTGAAGAACTGAATTGAACATCTTCAAGCTCTAATATGGTCAGAGAAGAAGACAATTTTGTCAGCAGTTTGAAGAAACTGTCGGTACACTGAAACAAGCTGTTTTTGCTTAATTCTAATTCATTTATAGAGTTCGTGAGTTGGTTTGTAGCTAAGAATTCTATATCCTCGTTATGAAGATGGCAGTCGTTCAATCTTAACATCTCGATGGGGCGAGTCAGTTTTGAGAGGATGGTGCCCAAAAAACCATTGACCCTCATTCGACCAAGATTTAACCTTTTCAAGTGTTTGAAGTTAGCCATGATGTCTGCAACGACGCCGGCATCCTCACTATCCAACAGTCGAATGTAGTTGTTGGAAATGTCCAGTGAGACGAGGTTGGTGAATTTGATTAGCGGCTGGGTCAGCAGTTCCAAACTCTGATTCGATATGCCATTGTACTGCAGGTTGGCTCCTCTGAAGTGCTGCAGTTGGGATTCGTGAATATTCATTATTATTCATTAACTTACAACAATTTTAACCTAATTTATTCATTAAATTTTCAAGTTATCTTGTTTTTTAACTTAAGCTTTCAAATAGAGCATGCACTAGAGCAGTATTTCAAATGTTTCCACTATAATACACACAGGACATCAGACATCAACACAGGAAACTTACCGCAGGGTTGATGAGTTCCAGTAGGACAACAACAGAAGGCACACCGAGGGCCTGAATGTCCAACTGAGAAACTGCCAACTTGAGGACTGCTTTTGGTTTGGATGTAATGTTGAGGGCTCTGCAGAGTTCCATGTGTGCCTCCTTCGATTCTATCGACACGTCCAAGCATATTGTACCTGTGGATATTAGGCAGAAAAAATATTTTTATTTCTTAGTTGTACATTAAAGACCTTAGGACCCTTCACTGTTGTTGTACTATTGTTATGAAAGACTTTTAAAATCTAGTGTTATAACCCTCGGCCCTTTTAACTATTTTAAAAACTACTTTTAGGCCAGGCATAATAATCTAAGGACCTTGGAAGGGGGGGGGTCCCAATTTTTGTGATTTAAAAGTGAACTTCATTCTTTGTTAGGGGATGATGCCCTCAGTTGAAAATGGTTCCCTCGGGTCCTCGGCCAGATGTTCAGCATCCTGATTGTAGAAGGATATTTCCTCTTTCTGGTTTCTTTCATTGTAGACCAGTAACACATGGGCTACTATGTAGTTTACTATTACCTCAACTGAAATTTAGAAAAATATTTATAGAAAATTAGTGGAAAATTCATTTTAAATTATACTTCATACATTCTTGTAATGGAGAAAATTAATTTTAAAAAATAATATAAATATTTTAGGGCAAACCTGATGGGAAGCCAGAGAGATCCAACCAACGTAACTTCATCAACTTCTGCTTCTTCAAATTCTCCATGTAAGTGTGAACCAATGAGGTAGTGTACTTGACACCCCTCCTAACATTTTCCATGAGATCTAACTTACTGAAGAGCGGTTTGAACGAAGGAAATACGGACGGTACGATATCATAGAGTACCAGTTTTTCCCAGGGCCACGACGAAATTATTTCTTCAGAACTTTTGTCCTGATTTGACTTCAGAGAGGCTTTTAATAGCGGGTCGAACAAATTTTTGGGGACCACCTCAATGGTAGTCTTCATTAATAAACGGTCTTTCACGATAAATTCGCTGCAAATGTCAACTAGGCTGAACGATTGTGTCGTCTGCGATGACGATTGGTGATGATTTTGACGGTGATGATTTTCACCATCGTCAGCAGCTGACGATGAAGAAGATGCAGACGGAAAACTGTACAAAGTAAAATTAGATGGCAGTGGCAAAGACGACATTTTTATGAAAAATCAAATCAGTTTTCAGAAATTAAGCGAAAAACAATTCAAAAATTAAACGACGTTTTTTAATGAAATAATTCCTAAATCCTAAAATGATCGTCTGGTAACTCAAATGTTATTTATTTACTCTGGTTTAGTGTTGGTTTAAAGTTGAATCTAGTTTATATAGAAAGTGAACAAAGACGGAATGTTAGAAAATTTGTTGTTTCAAATGCGTTTTGAGTTTTACAAGTTTTCAAAAGTTAAAAATTATATTAATTTACTTAAAAAGTTTATTAAATACTCAATAAAAAATTAAACAAAATATTTTTATGAGTTTATTAATCATTTTACAATTTACAAGTTTGTAATAAACTTGCTTTATTTTAAGTATTCAGTAAAAACAATTAAACAAGTTTTTTTATTTGTTAAAAAATCAGTATCACTTAATAAAACTTTTTATCACCTATTGATTTTTCTTCTGATCATAAAAACCAAATTAAAAAATTAATACTAAAAAACAAGTTAAAAAATTTAAGTTCTATGTTTTTTGTACTTTCCAGTTTCCCAAATCTTCTGGATTTATTTTCGAATTGATTATCATTGTAGAATAATTTATAAACTAATTTAATAAATAAAAATAATCATAATGCTTTTTATATTTATTATTTTATTATTGATCATTTTTTTCTTTTTTTACTGGATTGGATATTTTCATGTTATTTTTTCAAAAAAAGTTAGTACAGACAGACTACACTATTCCATATATATGAAGTACAAGACAAGCACCACCAATTACGACTTTTTATTTATTTATTAATTTAAAAAAGCCAGAAGTTAGTAAGTACATAAAAATGATATAAATATATATACACACACAAAATGTACATAAATATATAATATATTTACCTCTTTAGTCCTTTTAGGATGCTTACATACTCTACACTACATCTACACTACTACATAGTACATACATATGATCATGGAAAATAAATAGCATATTACAGATAGTTTAAGTTAGTCATAGAGTTTATATACTATGAACACTAAAAATAATTTTATATACATTCAAAAAATTTTATAATATTTGCCTTATTTTTTTATGATACTTTTTTACTTTTAGATTGACAGGAATTCTGACAGACATGCTGGTGAAATAGTTGCAAACGTTTTAAAAGTTAATTTATGAATTTTAGTTGTCATAAAAAAAAATCATTAATGATTAAAACTTTTAAATTTAATACATCTTTTAAAATTGATTAAACATCTTTTTAATCTTTACATAATGATATTTACATAAAAAGGTACAAAACTTAAAAAACTGGTTATATTTGAAGTGAAAAAGTGAATTTCAAATAACAAAATTCTTTTAATTTTTTATTAAGGCTCATGGTGTAAAATTTCTATTCACTCTAACTGGAGGTCACATTTCTCCGATTTTGGTCGCCTCCGAGAGAAAGGGCATTCGAGTAGTCGATGTTAGGCATGAGGTTATTATTTTTATTGTCATTATTATTATTCTTAGTAGTAGTAGTATAGTAGTAGTAGTAGTAGTAGTGGTGTTATTGTTATTATTAATGTTATTATTGTTAATTCTATTATTTGTATTATTATTATTATTATTTTCATAAGAATTTAATATTTGTAGGCCACGGCTGTTTTTGCAGCCGATGCAGTTGGTAGGCTGTCTGGGGGCATTGGTGTTGCAGCTGTCACTGCTGGGCCAGGTTGATGATGATGTTGGTGCTAATGATGATAGTGGTGATGATGAGGACGGTGATGATGACGGTGATGATGAGAATGATGATGCTGGTGGTGATGATGATGGTGTTGAGGATGATGCTGGTTTTGATGATGATGACTTTAATGATGATGGTATTGGTGATTGTGATGATGGTAATGATGAATATGTTGTTCGTGAGGATGATGATGACGATGATGATGACGGTTGAAAAAATATTTTTTATTTTGTTCTCGCAGGAGTTACGAACACAATCACAGCCCTCAAAAATGCCCAAATGGCCGAATCACCCGTCCTTCTGATTGGCGGAGCTGCTGCAACATTTTTAAAAGTGAATTTTCATTTCCATTCATTAAAATTTTATTCATTTCATCTTTATTGTATCTTTTATTTGGTCAATTTTGTTGTTTGTCTTTTGTTTGTTACAGTTGGTATCCAACTTTTTAATTAAATTTAATCACACAATTAATTTAATTTTATTAATTTCAATTCTTAATTCTAATTAAAATTTAATTTGACCGTTTTACAGGGTCGCGGGGCCCTGCAGGATATCGACCAAATGGCCCTACTGAGGCCCATTTGTAAGTTTACCGCCACCGCAAGAAGGATCCAGAACATCAGACCACTACTCTATAAAGCAATCCAGGTAGCCCAATCTGATACACCTGGTTAGTTTGTTGCTTGGTCGGTTAGTTGATTGATTGATTGGTTAGTTGATTGATTGGTCAGTTGATTGATTGGTTAGTCGATTGGTCAGGTTAATTAGTGTGAATTTTTTTCATTTAAGGACCCGTTTTTGTGGAATTCCCGATCGACCTACTCTACCCCTACAGAAACGTTGCCCAAGAGATTGGATTGTCGTCGGGCGCTGGTGCTGGCGGCATCATGAAGAAGTTGATTAATTTCTACCTGCAAACGCGTCTGGACTGCCTGTTTGCCAATGGTTTCGACGATTTGGGCACCCAACTACCTTTACCCTGGCCCGTATCTTTCCCCCTGGCCTCTAGCAAACAAAGTAGCAGCTCTTCATTCATTGGCTGATTTTTGTTATGACGTTTTCAAGTAGTTTTCCTTCTCTGTAATGCAGCTCTAAAATCCAGCGCAACACACGACGCACGTACACATGCACGCCACACGACGCATATAACATGTTTGTATCTTATCTTACGTTTGCATCATTGTTATTGAACTGCCTGTTGGACCGACAGTGCAGCGGTGCATGAAGCTGATTAGCAGGTGCAAGAAGCCAGTCCTCCTGCTTGGAAGTCAGTCGGTTACGATCCCGACAGCGGTCGACGATTTAAGAAGAGCCGTTGAGGTGATTATGGTGATGATGCTGATGACGTCATGATGTCGTTGGTGATGATGTAATTGGTTGAAACTTAGGCACAAGAAACCGATACAACAAAATGTTCGTGAAATTAATATTTCGCAATTAAGACTTTTGGAGTTCCGACGTTTTTGGGCGGCATGTCCAGGGGTTTGCTGGGTAGCAAAAGTTCGATACAGTTCAGGCACTGCAGGAAGGATGCTCTCAAAGAAGCTGACTGTATTATATTGGCCGGTTGGTTGGCTGGCTGGTTAAGTGACTGGATGGTTGGTTTGTGGGTTGGATGGTTGGTTGGATGTTTGGTTGGTGGGTTAGATGGTTGGTGGGTTGGATGGTTGTTTGGTGGGTTGGATGGTTGGTTGGATGTTTGGTTGGTGGGTTGGATGGTTGTTTGGTGGGTTGGATGGTTGGTTGGATGTTTGGTTGGTTGATTGATTTGTTGATGACCTATTCATTTTAGGAACCGTCTGTGACTTCAGGTTAAGTTATGGCAGGTCGTTCAATAAGAAAGCGAAAATCATCTCAATAAACCGAGATGCTAGTCAGCTTAAGAAGGTCCATTCTTTTCAGTTATTGTTATTATTATTATTGTTGTTGTTATTATTGCTGCCTATAAAATGTAGAATAATTTTTAAAACTGCACATTTATGTATAAGTCTCAATCTAAATTATTTCCTAAGTACTTATCAGATATATTAATTGAACCTAAACGTTTACGATCATCTTCTTGTTCTCGCTTTTTCTTAACTCGTGTTAAACACTCTTTGGCTAAATCTGCATTTGCTTTTTCTGGCTCCTTTCTCTGGAACTCTCTACCTCCTTCTCTGACTACTTCTCCATCACTTACAAAGTTCAGAGCGGATCTCAAGACCCATCTGTTGGCAAAATTCATTGAGGAGCGATGTTGAACATCGCGGAAATAGCGCTTTATAAACTATTTGATTGATTGATTGATTGATTGATTGACTGGTTGATTGATTGATTGATTGACTGGTTGATTGATTGATTGACTGGTTGATTGAATGAATGATTGAATGAATGATTGACTGATTGAACATTTTATAACTTTCAGAATTCCGATTTGTTCTGGAGTGCAGCCATCACAGTGCAGGCAGACGTGGCATCGTCCATCGTGCGTATCGTAGAAGGATTGCCGGGCTACAAATGCGAGCACGGATGGATTGAAAGTCTCAGACAAAAGGATATCTTCAAAGAAAATGAGATTCGGTTAATTCTGATCAATCCATCAACCAACCAATCAGCCAACGGGCACATTGGTTGACTTTTCAACACAATCAATCAATCAATTAATCCATCAATGGATCAATCCATCACCCCTCTTTTATATAACATATTTAGTCAATCAATTAATTAGCTATTCCGCAAATCGTTAAATATAGCGATCAAATGACACAATCTATCAATCAATAAGTCAACCAACCAACCAATCATCATCATATTAATCAACAAATCAACCAGCTAACCGATTAAATCAATTAATTAACCATCAGCTCTCAACAACCTACCAATCAATCAATCAAATAATCAATCAATTAATCAACCAATTAATCAATCAATCAACCAGTCAATCTATCTATTAATCAACTACTCAGTCAATCAACCAACCAACCAATCAATCAAGAAATCAATCAACCAACCAACCAATCAATCAATCAGCGAACGTGGAAGACAAGCAACTGAACAGCACTTAAACCCAATAAAGATCTTAATGGAGTTGGAAGACTTTTTGCCCGAAAAATCAATCCTAGTGGCTGACGGGGGAGACTTTGTGGGCACGGCTGCATACATATTGAGGTTATAAATAATAATTATAACAATTATAATTATCTTATATTATTATTATTATTATTGTTATTATTATAATTAATTATAAAATAATAATAATTAAATTACATTCAGTGATTTCACTGAATCGAGTTTATCTTAAAAAATCGGTTGAGCTTTTTTCATGATAATAATAATTGCATTATTATTAAACATTAATAATAATATTTATAACCATAATTACAATCATAATTTCAACCTCAGTATAATTTTAATTCTACGTGAAGACCTAGAGCCCCCCTGACGTGGTTAGACCCTGGTGCCTTCGGCACCCTTGGTGTCGGCGGGGGGTTTGCGTTGGGGGCCAAACTTTGCCGGCCCGATCACGACGTCTGGATCATATATGGCGATGGCTCGTTGGGGTTTAGTGTCGCCGAGTTTGATACTTTCACCAGGCATAAGGTTGGGTTAATTTGTTTGGTTTTTCATTTTTACGATTTATTTGTTATATAGTTTCTTTATTGATTTATCTTATTTTCTATTCGTCTATATTATTTTATATTCAATTCCACTTTTTCTACTTTAATTGTTGTTAATTTAGTTTTTCTTAATTTTTGCCAGACACCCGTTATAGCCCTGGTAGGCAACGACGCATGTTGGAGTCAAATCGCCAGAGATCAGCAGAGAATACTGCAAGCTCCTACAGCCTGCAATCTTGCTGTTTGTACACTTGTTTTCCTCTGTTATGTGTATGTTTTTTGTATTTGTATGCGTGTATTTATTTCATCTTTTTGCGTATGTTTGTGTGTTTGTTTTTTTGTTATGTGATTTGTATTTGTGTATTTGTTTCATCTTTTTGCGTATGTTTGTGTGTTTGTTTCTTCGTTATGTGCTTTGTATGTGCGTATTTGTTTTATCTTTTTTCGTATGTTTGTGTGTTTGTTTCTTTGTTATGTGCTTTGCCTATATATTCTTTCAAACGCACGAACACTGAGTATTTTGTAATTTTGAATCAATTTTTTTTTAAATATTTGCCCACCCATGTTGGGATTTGGTTGCTCCTTTTTTTTACGTACGTACGTGTTAACGCTATACAAATGCAAATAGTATTATTGTTATTGTTACTGTTACTGTTTACCTCAAGACTATTTACAATATTCGGTTCGTATGCATGCGTGTATGTTCTTCGCACATCTGCCCAGCCCACATATACACTTACATTTTCTCAACCTGTGCACAGTTCTGCAAGTACGAACTCGTCTGCAACGGTTTCGGTGGGAAGGGATTTCAAATAAACAGAGATAGTCAGAATATTTCGATCATTTTCGACGAGGCGATCAGGAACTCGAGGCGAGGAACGAGCGTCTTACTCAACTGCTTCATCGGAAAGACGGACTTCAGAGACGGAAGTATCAGCGTCTAGTGGGGCTTTCTGATGTTTGACCTCAGTCACCGAGCCAAATGAGAGAAATGCCTCCACGAGAAACTTTATTTGGTCCAGAGTTGTCTGAGCGTTAGAATGCGTAATTTGGCTTAATTTTATTACAGTTTTCTTAATTGATTAATCATTTAATTAATCTATTAATCAAATAATTAATCAATTATTTTAATTATTTGATTAAATGCAATTTATGCTTTAATTATTTATTACTTTTATTTTATTATCTACTAATGATAATTATTAAAATAGGATATGTAATGAAATGGTTTGTGTGGGTGTATATATGTGTGTGTGTGAGATTTAAAATTTTAAGTGCGTGAAGTTAGGAAGATGATAACAACCATTGATGATGATATCAGCAGATAACATTACGTTCTAATGCCTAAGTTCCCAGTTTATTTAATCATTAAGGAGGAATTTTTCTAGTATTATTATTACTAATTATTATTACTAATTATTATTATTTATCGTTGTTATTGTGTGAGCATAGTATAAATAATTATTATATGGCTTGTATATAAATTGAATGAAACACGAAATATTATATGAATTCTCTCTTTTAAATGGTTTAGTTTTTTGTTCTTGTTGATAATGTTTATAAGTTTAACGTTTAGACTGTTTATGAAGCTATCTTAAAGTAAATTGTTACATCTGTTTAATCATTTTGTTAATGTTAAACAATTTTTTTTCGTTTTAAAAATTTTTCCTCCTACATTAAAGAATGTAATAAAAGTTTCTATCTCAAAGCAATTTTACAATCTTAAAGCAAATTGTCGAATCTTAAAATCACTAATTTGGTATGCTTGAGTTTGTGTGTGTTTGTTTGCGTGTGTGTGTCTATCTGTGTGTGTGTATGTGTGTGTGTATGAGATGGATGGTAGTATTAGTAAAAGTAATAGTAGTAGAAAAAGCTGTTACAATGGTAAGTAGTAGTATAGTAATTATTTATTACAACCTGAAACAACTGGCCATTTATACAAGGTCCAAAAAACGAATGGTATACGAAATAAAATAATACCTCGACGATACCTTTTGTATGTATATACACCTTGGTAAACTTCAACTTTATTGTATTTTGATACAATAAAATTACGAAATTTATACAATTTTATACAGATATGCACACATTCGACCATAAATACATACGTACGTACATACACATACGTAGCTACATACATAGATATACATACACACACTTATACATACATACACTCATACATACATACACTCATACATACATACACTCATACATACATACACTCATACATACATACACTCATACATACATACACTCATACATACATGCGTACATACATGCATACATAAGTTCAACAGGTTTTTGTTCTACTGCGAATAAACGAAGCTTTGCTTATTAACGATAAATAACTGTAAATAATTTTTATCGATTTTATTGAAAGAGATATTTTTAAAAATAAAATACTTTTAAAGATTTTAAATTTGAATTCTGGGCTGAAATATGGCTACCAAGTGCGTTTTTGCCGTTACTTTTGTGGCTGTTGTTGTTTGCAGTTGTCTTTTATATAATTTTTGTTGCAATATGCTATAATTTTGATGAAATCTACTCATTTGTTGATGTAATTGTGGTTATTGCTGTCTTGGGTGTTGTTGCGCTGTGCTGGTTGTCACATTTTGCATGGAATTGGTAACCGTTTTGAAGTGTTTCTTACTTACCTGCTTTGCGCCTAGCGTCGAATGAATTAACAGTTTTTAAAATGTTATTTCGCAGCTAACGGTCGTTAAAATCAAAACTGTTGATGTCAGTTTAAATATATCATTAATTCCACAAATACATATAAAATGTAGATTGAATAAAATTAATGATATTCAAATAACTAAAGTGGCCGAGTAAACCGCTGCTGTGGCTGTCCTGGGTTTTTTAAGCGTCACCTACCAGACAGCCACAATGAAATACATTCGGCAGCTCTTGTCAAAGGAACTATCGCTGAATTTCTCGGTACATTAATCTTGGTCACAATTGGCTGTGGGACGTGCCTGGCAAAGGACTGGGAGAAGGACACACCGACCACAGTCCAGATTAGTTTGGCGTTTGGTCTGGCGGTAGCTGCGGTGGGTTGGTGTTTCGGACATGTTGACGCGGGGCACGCCAATCCAGCTGTCACCACGGCGTTGTTTGTCTCTAGGAAGGTTTCATTTTCATTAGCAATTTGTTTCTTAGTTAAAAGGTGTTAATGATTTTATTAGTTTTGTTCGTTGCACAGCGAGATTAATTGCAGATTGTTTTATACTTTCAATTTCGTCATATAAGAATTCATTTTTGCTGTTTTCACGAAACATAGTAAGTAACAAAATAAAGATAATTAAATCACACAAGAACTCTCATTTATGTCCTCTCGACAACTCCTACCTTCGGACAGATCAGTTTGGTGCGATGGATCTTCTACGTGTTCATGCAGTGTGCTGGAGCAATTTTGGGTGCAGATATCCTGTTGAAATTGACGCCGTCATCTGTGAACGGCACCGAACTGGGCAGTCCATCCATCAATGTCGCCAACACAGCCTTTCAAGGTTTTGTGGTCGAGGCCTTCATCACATTCGTCCTAGTGCTGACGATTTTTACATGCTGCGACAAGAATAGAAAGGAACTTCACTGCATTCGGCCGATCGCAATTGGACTTTGTGTCACTATGTGCCACCTCTTCGCGGTCAGGGTTCCACGTTATCTTTTAACAATTTTTTACTTCTTGAGTGTTAAATTTTCATTTGTTTTCTCTGTCCTGCTCTCGACTGAGTTTCATTGTGATTGTTTTCTCAGTAGTGCAACATAATAAGACTGATAACCACCTCGTTTTTTATACTAATTTAGTTTCAACAACGGTCACGAATTGTTATAAAACAAGTAATAAAATGTTCAGTTTCAACTGAAATGAACGCTAAATCAATAAATTAATTGACTTTTTAATTAAATAATAATAATTTTATAAAATACACTTCTCAACCAGTTGAAATACACCGGATCAAGCATGAACCCCGCTAGAGCCCTGGGGCCCCACGTGGTGGCGAGAGAGTTTGACCCCAACCACTGGGTCTACTGGGTGGGACCGATGGTCGGTGGCGTCCTGGCTGGTTGCATCCACGAGTTGATACTTGCAGAGGATACCTCGCCTCAAAAATGTCGTCAGTTGTTAGGCATCAATTTGATAGCTGGCTGTTTTTCGAAGAGAGACTCGTATGAGCCTCCACAGCGCGAGGAGGAGGAGCTAAGAGTCCTGCCAGGCAATGTGGGGGAGGAGTTAAGGCAGCCAGGAAGCGGTTCAAGGGATAGGTAATTTATTTGTTTGAAGTTGGAGCAATTTGCGCTTTTGAAAAAGCTAACTAACATCAAATTTTCAGATTTTTAAATAGATACATTAGCAGTTATACTTAACAATTGTTCTAATTATTTTCAAGTTCTTCTTGTGCCAATTTTTGAACAAAACAGTGGTTTTAAATGTTTCGAACGTCGATTTTAAACGATTTCCGTTCGACAGTTCAAACGTTTTTTTACACCTGGTTTCCTTAGTTATTAGTATCTATGTAAAAAAAAGTCTTCATCAACTAAACGTGTCTGCATTTGTGGTTGATGAAAACTCCGTTTAAAACGCAATCCACGATTTACGAACTAAATTGGAAGTAAACAACCTCAAGCGAAGAATGAAACTGGATTATAAGAAAAAACCAACGCAGACTTCTCAAAAAGGTTTCAGATATTGTGACGTCACCTGTTTACATCTGCTTCGATAATGACGTCACATATTTAGGCCTCCCATTTTAAAAGTAGTGTACGAAAGTTTAATAGAATGCCTATACTCAATACGTATATTTAAAATATTCAAGGCGTAGTTCGATTTCTGCAACCGACCAACAACCATCGATGAATGAATTTATTCGTCTTTATTTGTTTCACAAATTTTATAACATATTTGAAATGAATCGTAACAGAATCCAAAATTTTAAAAATTTAGATACATCCACATAAATATACGTATGTTTGTGTATGTATGTGTATGCGTGTCTACATGTATGTATGTGTAAGTGTATATATATGTGTGTGTGAATTTGACAGGTTAAAAATCCAGGAAGAAATAAAATGAATGGCATGTAAATCTTAAAAGAATAAACCGACAATGAGCTTACGATAATGAATCGTCATAACAATTAATAACAAGATGATTGAATCCTTTAAACGTTTAAAAATTAGGCAATCAAATCACAAAACCAATCACTTGCCAACCGATCAATCACATCAGCCATAGACGTAACTATCAATCCAATAATCAAACCATGAACACCTAAACTATAAAGAGAACATTCAACCAATCAATAAACCAACTCAACCAATCAACCAACCATCCACCCAATCAATCAACCAGCCAACCAATCACTCAACTAATAATCCCTGCCTCGAGGTCTGGGTTCAGTAGCGGTAGGTGGGGGTGAGGGCCCTCTATTGGCGATTTCCTCAATGTAACTCGTCAGGATCTCTATCCGTTCCTCTGGCATCGTGTCCAACACTAAATATCTCTTGTCTTTCTGCATTGTCATCATAAATTATAATTATAATAATTATAATTATTCAGCATAATTATGGTTATAATTATCGTTAAATTATCATCGTTATTATGATGAATGTATGAATGAGCCAACAAGGCAATGAATTACTGGATGGATGAATGCAAGGTCGAATTCATTAATGAAAGAAAGTAATACAAAAAAAGAAAGAACGAAGTAAAGAAAGAAAGAAAGAAAGAAAGAAGGAGAGAGAGAAAAAGAGGAAAAATAAATGCCTGGATGAATGAACGGACAAACGATCAGATAACAAGTTGAAGAAAGAATTTTTTTTTAACAAAGAAATAATAAACACTTGTAATATTGCAATGATGTCTTTCAGGTGCTGGGTGGAGTCCGTGGCAAGTTGGGCCGACCTGCAGTTGAGGGGGGGGGGAAGAAAAAATTACGAAATGAGAACATCTCACGAAAGGTCACTCGAGAAAACAAACAAAATAACAACAACAATAATAACAATAACAACCACAAGAACAATAGCAATAAGTCACCTATGATTAATAATCCTAGTTTCCTTCAAAAGTTCCCTGAACTCCTGTTTCGCTTTTGCCCTTCTCTGCACTAAATATTCATCAAATTCTTTCTCTCGCCTCTGATTGGTTGAAAAAAAATGATGTAATGCTTCACCGGTCAAAAATAAAGAAAGCATTGGTTGGTTGAAAATATATTGAGGGAGATTTTGATTGGCTAAGAAACACGATGAACAAAAATACAACGAATAATGATGATTGACTGAAAACAAATCAATCAATCTACTAACCAACCAACCAACCAACCAACCAACCAACCAACCAACCAACCAACCAATCAACCAACTGATCAACCAACTGATCAACCAACCTTTTCATGTGATGAGAATTTAGTGCACCTCGGATCGTCCTTAATCATTCGTCTGACGTTCTTCCAATTCTCCGTCAACTGGCTGCCGAGAGTTTCATCCAAAAGTTTATGGAACGCCATTTTCGTCTTTTTAGCGATGGCCGATATGTGCTCCTCAAAAATTTTTTCTTTTTCCGACTTGTCGATGTGTTTGGCGAGTGCCCACCTGTTGTCCTTGCGAAGGTTGTGGCGAGTTTCGCGCCATGACGCGTCCGAACTTCTGACCTGTTCGATGATTGGTTCTCATTGGCTACAAACAGGCCAATCACAACTGGCTACAAACTGACCAATCACAAATTAACTACTAAACCGCAACGAACCATGTCAGTGAGGAGAGCTCTGAAGTGCTGCACTGACTCCTCCCTCAGGTGAACCTTCCTCTCCTTGTCCCTCTCCTGCAGGGACTCCATCAGGGATTCCTGCACCACCTTTGAAAAAAAAATTTTGAAATTTATAAAATCGATCAATCAATCAATCAATCAATCAATCAATCAATCAATCAATCAATCAATCAATCAATCAATCAATCAATCAATCAATCAATCAATCAATCAATCAATCAATCAATCAATCAATCAATCAATCAATCAATCAATCAATCAATCAATCAATCAATCAGTCAATCAATCAGTCAATCAATCAATCAATCAACCAAAAAAACTAGTTAATCAATCAATCAAATCATATCCCAATCAATCCCTCAATTTCAAACACTCTTGGATGAACGAACGAACAAATGAATGAATGAATATATAAACGATGAAGGCAAAAGATGAATTAATGAAAAACGAATAAACAAACAAATTAATTAATTAATTACATGAACGAACTAACAAATGAACGAATGAACAAACAAACGAATGAATGAATGGATGGATGAATGTATGAATGAATGATGAATGAAAGAATGAATGAATAATGAATGAATTAATTAATTAATTAATGAACGAACGAACGAACGAACGAACGAACGAATGAATAAATGAATGAATGAATGAATGAATGAATGAATGAATGAATGAATGAATGAATGAATGAATGAATGAATGAATGAATGAATGACCTTCTCTCTCTGTCTCATACTCGCTTCTACTCTCTCCCTTCTCTCTCTTTCCCTCTTCGTATCTTCATCCAGTTCTTCCTGGGATCAAAAATAGAAACAATAAAAATAATAATAACAATAATAACAAAAATAATCATAAAAACAAAAAACAATAACCTCTTTATATTCGCCGTCGTCATAATCATCAACACCTACACTATTATTATTATTATTGTTGTTGTGGCTATTTTTAGATTTCAACGCTATGACGTCACAGTATTCTTTGAACCATGTCTCACAGAGGGGTGAGTGTTCCACCACAACCCTGTACCTGATTGGTTGGTTGATTGAATGGTCGATTGGTTGACTGATTGATTGACTGATTGATTGACTGATTGAAAAGTTGATTGATTGATTAACTGATTGGTTAATTGGTTGACTGATTGAATGAGTGATTGATTGATTGAATGGTTAATTGGTTGACTGATTGAATGGTTGATTGACTGGTTGAAGAGTTGATTGATTGACAGATAATTCGTGTGATTGATTGAATGAATGAAAAGTTAAGTGATTTGATTGACTGATGAATAACTGAAGAGTTATCCGATTGAGTAATTGAATAACTGATTGATAAATTGATTAAGAAGCTGATGGTTTGATTGAAGAAGCAACGAGCTGATGAATGATTTGGTTAAAAAAAATGTTAACCAATGAATTATTTTACTTGAACAACTTGATGATTGATTAGTGGAATGATCATTAGATCGAGAAACGAACGAATGAATGAAAAAATGAACAAATGAACAAACGAACGAATGAATGGATGAATGGTTTAATAAATGAATGAATGAATGGATGAACGAACAAATGAATGAATGACGACCGTTCTTGTATTCGAACAGACAAACCTTGGATCATATTGCGTGTAAGACTTGACAAGTGACCATGAGATGCCAGTACTCAGCATCAAGGAGGGCACCGTATCTTTTAACATCTGGTTGAAATCTTGTTTTGCCTGTGTGTGTGTGTTTGTTTGTATGTGTGTGTGTGTCTGTTTGTGTGTGTTTGTGTTTATGCATAAGTTGTGGCAATCAACTTATGTATGAATGCATAAGTTGTGGCAATCAATAAATAGATTGATTGATCAGCCAGTCAAACAAAGTCAGTCAGATAGTCAATCAAATAGATAGCACAATCAATCAATCAATCAATCAACCAACCAATCAACCAACCAATCAATCAACCAATCAATCAATCAATCAACCAATCAATCAATCAATCAATCAACCAACCAACCAACCAACCAACCAACCAATTAACCAACCAACCAACCAATTAACCAACCAACCAATTAACCAACCAACCAATTAACCAACCAACCAACCAACCAACCAATCAATCAATCAATCAATCAATCAATCAATCAATCAATCAATCAATCAATCAATCAATCAATCAATCAATCAATCAACCAATCAATCAATCAACCAACCAACCAGCCGATTAACCAATCAATCAACCAATCAACCAATCAATCAACCAACCAACCAGCCAATTAACCAATCAATCAACCAATCAATCAACCAGCCAACCAGCCGATTAACCAGCCAACCAGCCGATTAACCAGCCAACCGACCGACCTTATCAAGGGTAAACTTTCCATCCATCCTCTCTCTCCTCCTGATCTCCAGCATGTACTCATTGAATAGGCCCTCTCTTTCTTTCATCTTCTCCACACTCTTGAACCTCTCATCTCTAGAGTGCTTCATGCAGAACTCCGAGAATGTTGTTCTGTGCGTGTTTGTGTGTGCGTTAGCGCGCGCGTGTGTGTGTGTGCGTATGTGTGCGCGTGTGTGTTGAGAAATTTGAGATATCTGGTAGTCAGTCAATCAACCAATCAACCAACCTTACTTACTAAACAATCAAAATCAGATAATATCCCAGCCAACAAACTAACCAGGCAATCTACCAATCAATCAATCAATCAATTAACCATCCAATCAATCAACCAACCATCTAATCAATCAACCAACCAACCAGCCAGTCAATCAATCAATCAATCAACCAACCAACCAGATAGTCAATCAATCAACTAACCAGCCAACCGGCCAACCAACCTGCCACTCAAATTAGCATCCACGAGCAGACTCTTGAATACCTCCTTCTTCATCTTCATCTTCGTCATCTTCTCCTTCCTCTCCTCTTCGCATCTGACCTTCAAGTATTGATCGAATGCCAATTTGCGATCTTTGGTCGGCAGGAGTAGGTAACGATCGTCGAACACTATTTTAGGAAGCTCTTTCTCCCACGTTGAAAAAGCTGACACCTATCGCCATAAATATAATAATAATAATTATTATTATTAATTATTATAATAATAATTATTATTATAATTATGAAAATAGTGGAAATATTCCGTCGTCGGTAAAAAAAAACTTCACCATTGAGTCTTTATAGGCAATTAAAACTAGCACTCCTATAATGGTCACCAGTCAGTAATGATTGTGGATCATTACCGTCGTTCATCATAAGTACCGCCACCATAAAAATAATAATAATAATAACCATCATCATCATCATTATCAGCATCATCATCATCCCCATCATCAGGATCATCATCATCACCATCATCAGCATCATCATCCCCATCATCAGCATCATCATCAGCATCATCATCACCATCATCATCACCAGCATCATCATCCTCATCATTATCATTATCATCCCCATCGTCATCATCATCACAACCTGCTTCTCAGCTAAGAGTTCCATGAACTTATGAACTTTCTCTTCCAGTGTCAGCTGTTGAGCATCAGAGCTGCTACCACCAGCCACTGAAGAGTTCGATGTCGTATCCGAAGTACCGGCACTTGAATTACTGTTAGCCATACTACTAGTAACATAATTAGTGTCGTTACTACTGCTAGTGGCTGTGGCAGCTGTAGTGGTAGCTGCCAGTTTATTCAATTTAGAATAATTGGCTGGTGTGATGAGTGGTAGAGGAGTCGTAGTCGTGGCGGGGTTGTAAGTTATGAGGGGTTTGTGTTGCGATGGTATGAGGTAGGGGGGTCTGTAGGGTCCCTGGGCCACGGGTTCCTCCTCGTAAAATGGTTCGTACCTGGGTGGGTGGTGGTTGGATGATGTCGACGAAGAAGATGATGATGAGCTGGCGATGGAATCAATCCACTGTGATGACCGTGTTCTTGAGAGTTCATTCACCCATCCATTCTCTCATTCAACTATCAAATTATACATTCATTCTATCTATCTACTCATTCAATCAATCATTCAATCAATCAATCATTCATTTATTCGTTCATTCGTTTATCTATCTACTCGTTGATCCATTCATCCAAACCTAATCCTCTTTTCAATCGGTTCATCGTCCTCTTCCTTTTTCTCTCCTCCCTGTTCGATGATGATCAGCGGTTGCTTCCTGCCTCTCGCTGCAATTGAAGAGGCTGCTGTCGCCGTTGTAGTTGCTGCTGCTGCAGCCGCTGATGTTTCAGCTTTTGATTTTTCTAAGTAAAAGAATGAATGAATGGATGGATGAATGATTGAATGAACGAATAAATGAACGAACAAACGAATGAATGAATGAATGAATGCATGAATGAATGAATGAATGGAGCAACTGAAAATGATTGATCAAATAAATTAACGAATTAATAAGTTATTTCTAGTTATAATGACAAGAACAACATTAATAATAATAATATTATTAACAACAACAATAATAAAAATAATAACAAAAAAATAACAACAACAACAACAACAATAATAATAATAATAAACGATCTACCCTCGTTCGGGGGGCCCTCTTGCATCCACCTGGTCACGTCGGCCCTCGACTGAATCTCCAGGGGGCACTCCCACTTTGAGATGTTTGTGCTCGGATTGTGGAAGAATATTCGAGAGTCTTTCGTCCAAACTATGCACCTGATTGGTTGGTCGGTCGGTCGATTGATTGGTCGATCGATTTGTTAACTGATTGCCGATTGGCTGAATAATTTATCAGCTGGCCGGTTCAATGTCAGTCGGTTGTTTTTATAAGTGCTACGTGGTTGGTATGTATGCAAATGAACTACTTCTTAACATACAGTGACTGATTGATTGACTGGCTGATTGATTGATTGATTGATAGATTTGAATCCGAATTGTTTAATTAAAAACAAAACAAACAGACCACAGACAAACAAACAGACCTCAAACAAACAAACAGACAGACAAACAAACAAACAAACAAATAAACAAACACACCATGGAGTTCCGGGAACAGCTTTTGAATGGATTGGCTTACTAGCTTCTTTTTTCTTACGCTTAATTTTTTCCTCTTCCTCCTCTAATTTCTTCTGCAGCAAAGCAGCTGCTAAAGTCGCCGACTGCTTTTCAGCAGCAGCAGCAGCTGCTGCTGCTGCTACAACATCAGAAGATTCTTTTATTTGATTGGATGCATCGTTTTCCTTGGTATTCGCATGTTCTGTAGTGGTGCTGGTAATAACCTTTTGAACTTTAGTACCTTCGTCTCTGGCCACTACATCATTATTATTTCTATGAGGATGCGGCATCTGCTGTCCAGAAAGTTCTAAAAGTTCAATCAATCAATCAATCAATTAATCAATCAATTATTTAATTAATCAATCAATCAATCAATTAATAAATCATTGGAAATTAAAAAACCAGTCAGTCGACCGACCAAAACATCAGTCAGTCAATCAAACTAAAAACAAACAATCTGACCCGCCAGCCAGCTAATCAACAAACAAGCCAACTACTTAGCCAATCATACAACAATCATACAGATGATGTACCGCATCTGTTTAGCTGTCCACAAGTCACCACAAAACTACAACCAATAGACCTCTGGAGAAACCCAATTGCAGTGGCGGTTTGGCTCCGGCCTCGATTGGAGCCCTAGGGGTCCCCCAGAATGGGGCAACAACAACTACTTAGCCAATCAATCAACTAACCAACTAATCAATCAATCACCAAACTAACCCCTAACTATCTTAAGCTCATGGGGCATGTTCCACGTTGACTCCATGGTCCTGCAGTTGTAATAGTAAGGCCTGCCAGTCTCACTGTAATACTCACTCCATTCACTCGCCTTTTTCAATATCTCCTTTCAGAAATACGAATAAATAAATATGAATAAATTATGATAATTGATAAAATTATAATTTTTTTATCCCCCATATTGTTGTTATTATTATTATTATATTAATAATTATAAATATTATTAATCGCAGTTAATTTCAAAATTTAAAAAAAAATATAAAACAAACATACCTCATCTACAGTGCTACTACTACTACTACTACTATTAGCAGTGCTACCATCGTTATTATTATTATTATTATCATTTTTTCTGTTGTTATTGCTGTTGCTCGTGACGTCATCGTTAACCTTGTTGACGTCATTCGAGTGCGTGAGTGTCCATTCCGGCGGCGATCCAGTTAGGTAGCCAACTGAATCATTACCACTACCATTATTATTATTATTATTATTGTTGTTGTTGTTGTCATCGGACTGTTGTTCTGAGTTAATGATATTATCCTGACTGTTTAAAACAGAAGACTGGCCTTCTAAATTCTGATTGGTCTGGCCTGCCAAGCTCTGATTCGTCTGACTAGCTAAATTTTGATTGGTCTGACCTACTAAATTCTGACTGGTCTGACCTACTGAATTTTGACTGGTCTGAACTACTAAATTCTGACTGGTCTGACCTACTAAATTTTGACTGGTCTGACCGACTAAATTCTGATTGATCTGCGATTCATATAACCTCATAAACGTAGCCATGTCGACGTTTTGAGCTGCAGCCATTGACTGAAGTTCATTTTGAGTCATGACTCTGACATTTGGAGAGACTGTCCATGATGTTTCTCGAGTTTTCGCATTGTAGTAATATGCCTAAACAGACGATGTAATGAATTTTTATTTTATAAACGTTTCAAGTAAATTATTTATGCTTCGTTATTATATTCAATCAAAAAACATTTTGGCGCATGCAGATTATAACAACAAGATGAGTAGATGAATTAATGAAACTTCGTTTGGTTAAAAAAAAGATTCTCTTTCAAGAATGCAAAAATAAATGTCACACAGCAATAAATCAATGACTAATTAGAAAATCTATATAATCATATAGACAATTCAATGGAAAACCAAATAAGACACGAACACTGCAATACAAAGTTCTATGGACGACTAACAAAACTCAACCTCCGACAACAAGAAGTCTTACTTACCTTTCCCTCTTTAGAAAAAGTCTCAATCCAAATATCAGTAGCACTGTTATTAATCACTGAATTCGACTGTGACACCATATTATTATTATTATTATTGTTATTATTATTATTATTATTGACAATGATGTTGGTGATGATGTTTGGTGGAGGTACTTGATTATAATTAGGAGGAATTCCATGCTGACGAGAGTAAAAAAAAATCTTTTTTTTTCACATAAAATTAGAGCAAAATTATTTCAAATGATTAATTATTAATTATTTTAAAAATTAATTATACGGGGTATGTAATTGATAAATAATTTGTAATTTGAATAAAAAAATGTTTCAATATTTGAAAAAGCAAGTGAAATTTTATCGGAAAAGTTACGTTGTATTAAATAAATTCAGAACAAAATAAAATAAATAAATGAATAAATAAATAAATAAAATAAATAAATAGATCATTTCCAAATCAAGTATACGTACATGTGAAAAAATATTGTGTGTCAATAGCTTAATTGCAAGAATGGGCAATTCAAAATATCTTATTTCAACAGGGAAGCCAATAAATTATCAAAAAAAACACTAACTGAAATATTATAAAAAAATAATTGATTCACTCAAACCACAAGTTTAAAAATAAAATAAGTTAAAATAAATTAAACTAACCACACAATGTTGATTTAAAAATATAAAAAAAATGTCAAAAAACCTGTAGAGGATGAATAAAATTTGGATGAAATCTTGCCGGCACTGGGATAGGTCCACTTTTTAAATCATGGGTTGGTCCAGCATGAGGGGGGAAATAATTAAATGGTGGTGGCCCATGTGGCGGTCCACGTGGTAGCGACTCATGTGGTGGTGGGCCGTGTGGTGGTGGCATCATTCCACTGATGTGTTGTGGAAAATTTGGAATGGGGATCATATGTCTGGCAGGACCACCTTAGAGAAATTAATGTAAAAAATATCATAAAATATAAAATGTTGAAAATAAAATGTCTAATAATTTGAAAAAAATTTTAAAATTTAAATTAAATTTACCTGGCCCACTAGCAGGGTAAGACCCACCAGCAGCCCCAGGAGGAACAAAATTAGG